TACACCCCTGCCTTCTTGCTCCAAGCCTTCCCTCTCCCTCCGTTCTTTTCCAGTTTCTTTCCCGCGGGTTCTTTCATGATTAACCACACGCATGGAGACAAGTTTGCTCTGTGTAATCTAAGCCTTGCCGGGAAGGGAATGGAAATCCTTGTCTTGACCTGCCCGGCCTCCTCTAGGTCGTTGTGAGGATCAAGGGCTTAATAAGATCAAGCTTCGTTCCGGGCTCTCCCGCAGCCCCAGCAGCTGGCCACACCCTAGTACTAGACACTACAGACATTTTATTTGGCCTTAAGGGATGGGTGCTGTCCAGCAGGTGTGTCCCGTCTCCCCGGCGGGCGGGAACTCTGTTTCCGGGCTGTCCTGGCACCCGAACCGCGCTGGGCGTGGCTGCGGTCAGACAACCCCAAACCGAGATGACCTGGGGTAGAGGACGAGCGCGGCGAGCCCGCCGTCCGCAGGAGGAGCTGCCCAGCCCTCGGCTCTCAGCCTCTGCGTCCGCTCAGGGACCCACGGCCCGCGCCAACTCCGGGACAGAGAAACCTCCGCGCCTCGGGTACCCGGCGGAGACCGGTCGCAGGCCTTGCAGTCGGGCCCACGAGAGTTAACCAACCTGCTCCAGCGGAGGCCGAGGGCCGGGCCGCTGAGCACCTCCCATTGGCCGCCGAGCCGGCTCTGCGCTCATTGGCGGAGGCGCTCGGCTGCGGCTCTTGTAGAGTCCCCATTGGCGCTGCGTTCCACCGAGCGGAGAGTGGCGGCCCGGCCTCCGCAAGCTACCCCGGGTAAAGGTGCTCCGGCTCCGTAGCTACCTTGCCACGCTCAGTCTTAGCTGGAATCTTAACTTCCTTCGCAGCCCTCCTCTTGCTTGTCGCCAAGGCACCTCCGGGTCTTCCCTCTGATCCTTTTCTTCTTGTTGCTTTTCTTTATCCTGCCTCTCCAGCTACCATTTCCCAACTCCGCGTTTTCCTTAAATATTGCCTGGTCCCCCTAGCCTGTCATCCCAGGCATCCCCACCTGCCACCGTCTAACTTTTGCTCCTCCTTGACCTCAGATCCCTTGGTCAATAGGGCCTTTTCGCCAGACTCTCCATCACTCCTCTTTCCCCCTTATTTGCCACCCTCTGACTCCCAAATTCCCACTAATCCTACTTCACTTCTTGACATTTGACTCTAACACTTTAGCTCTTTAAATTTCTACCTGTTGCAGTCTGGACTGCAAAAAGCCAGGTGTTGGCCTTGATATCCCTCCCTGCTTCCTGAGGCCGGTGCTACCCCTGCCATGGAATTCTTGATGAGTGGTCTGGCAGCCTGCGGGGCCTGTGTGTTCACCAATCCCCTGGAAGTTGTGAAGACCAGAATGCAATTGCAGGGAGAACTGAAGGCTCCGGGAACCTACCAGCGCCACTACCGGAACGTCTTTCATGCCTTCTTCACCATTGGCAAGGTGGACGGCCTGGCTGCCTTGCAGAAGGGCCTGGCCCCTGCGCTCCTGTACCAGTTTCTGATGAATGGCATCCGACTGGGCACCTACGGGCTGGCAGAGGCTAGGGGATACTTGTGCACTGATGAAGGCGTCCACAGTCCTATCCGCAGCGCTGCAGCTGGGGCCCTAGCTGGGGTCATGGGAGCCTATCTGGGAAGCCCAATCTACATGGTAAGAGAGAGTCTTGTCTGGGGCCTTCATGAAAGACCTTTGGTATAGGGTGGGAGCCTGCCCTTCATAAGGGCATTGGTGACAGGGTTCTATCTCCCTGTAAGCAGGAAAAGCCACAGGAAAGTGCTGACAAGCTTCAAGACCTTCGATCTGCCTTATACACACCCACCCAACTGACTGCAATGTGCTGAGATTACAGATTTTTGCTTTGGGGGAGTTCTTTGAGTGGGGGTGTCTTTTGTTTGTTGAGGCAGGGTTTCGCTCTGTAGTAGTGTCAAAACTTCCGTAGCGTAGCCTGGCTTCAAACCCACACTCCAACCTAGGCTTCCCAGTGCTTCAGTTAACAGGTGTGCTCCACATCTGCCTACAGCTGGGCTTTGGAATCAGAGTGGGGAACTCGGGTCCTGGCTTGGAAAACCACTCACTGTTTCCACATCTATAAAACAGGAATAATTATAGGCTTTTGTGTGGTTGTCAGGAGGATTAAAGGAGACAAATGAGAAGCATTAGTATAGGTTCTGGCAGATGGTAAGCATTTGACAATATTTCTTTTCTATTTATTTGTTTTTGTTGTTTGTTTGTTTGAGGACACAGGGTCTGGCTACATGGCCTAGGTGGGTCTGAAATTCACTGTGAACCCAAGCTGGCCTCTCGATCCTTCTTGCCTCTGCCACCAGAGAGTTTTGAATACAAACATGTACCACCATGCCCAGTGATCGAGTAGCTTTTGTTGTCTGGTTATTGCCTAACCCAGAGGCTGACTTTGTGTCGGCAAGACAAGGAATTGAGTGACAAGCCTCAGTGAGTGCAGGATCAGGTTCTGGGCATCACAGGATTACAGTCTCACAGTTTACTCCTTTGAGTTATCAAATGGAGGTGAAGGGCTGGGAGCCTGCGACCCAGAGACGGTAGGTGCCCGGCTCAAGGTCACACAGCTGTTTATTGTTGGGACTAGGCCAGGCTTAGTGTAACCGAAGAGAATGAGATGATCTATAGGACAGCCAACTTGGTCTCGCTCCTAGTGTATGAGATTTGAAGACAAAGGCATCTTCAGAGTCATCTGAACTCATAAGGCTTTGGGCAGTCTGACAGGGAGGCTGGCGGAGGTGGCAGCTGGAAGTCTGACCTGGAACAGGAGCTGGCAGAAGAGGCTGGACACCCTCATCTTGCCTCACATGAAATCTTAGGAAACACTGCTGTTCTCCAAACTCCACTCCCCACCCCCAGCCCCAAGGGAAGTAGGATGTGGAGGGGGCGGGGTATCTTGCAGTGCTAGGAGGTCTGTCCCCTGGGACTGCAGCCAAGGGACACAGAGTCTCATGACCAATTTGTTAAGTGGGAACAAGAATAATTATCAGATTAAAAGAATATATTGGTTGCTTAATACCCTAGAGGAAGTGCGAGGGGTTTGGGTGTTTTGGTCTCCATGGTGGGGAGATGACCATGGGGACACAGGCTATGATACTCTCTTGTCCCCAGGTGAAGACACACCTTCAGGCACAAGCAAAAGCTGAAATTGCTGTAGGGCACCAGTATAAGCATCAGGTGAGGGTCCCCCAAACCACTGGAGTACCCAACCACCTCCCCCATTTTCTCCTGGCTTTCTGCCTGTACCTAGAAGCCCCAGCCCTAGTCACTGCTCTGCCCACCCCCATCCAGTTCCACTCGTCAGGCCCTGGAGCCCATCCTGATCCTCGCGTATCCTTGTCCCTCCAACCTCCCACACCTGTTTTTCCTGCCCCATTCTCTTGACCTGCTAATGCCGTCAATTCCATGCCTCCAGCCTGAACTCCAGGTTGGCAAGTGTCAGTAGACACCTGAGGGCCCCTATTCTGGCTCTAAGCCTACACTGGACTGGTTGTCTGGGCAACAGGTGCATGAACCTTGTGTTATCAGGAGGCAGTCTCTGATGGTGGGGTGACTGAACCCCAACCCCATGGTCTTCCCCCCCCCCCCAGGGCATGTTTCAGGCACTAACCGAGATTGGCCAGAAACATGGTCTAGTGGGGTTGTGGCGTGGGGCCGTGGGCGGCCTGCCCAGAGTTGTCGTCGGCTCCTCTACCCAGCTGTGCACCTTCTCATCTACCAAGGACCTCTTGAGCCAGTGGGAGGTACTGCCAGGGAAGGGGTGGGACCATCCCTGGAATGGGGAACAAGGGTGGAAAAAGGGAGGTGAGCTCTGGATGGGATGGGAGCAGCAAGAGGCCTTAGGGTCATTGACTCCTTAGACAGGGTTGTGTCATCTAGAAGGGGTACCTAAGCCCTCTAGATAACTCCTCCTCCAGAGTTATCATACTGTGTCATCTCTGGTGGTATGGAAGCACCCAGAAATTGTGTCCCAGGGCAGGGCCAGTCCTACCCTAAGGTCGAATGACTGTGTGGTTGATAAAATTCTTTCTCTTTCTTATAGATCTTTCCTCCCCAGAGCTGGAAGGTGGCTCTGGCGGCTGCCATGGTGAGTGGCATCGCAATAGTCCTGGCCATGACACCCTTTGATGTGGCCAGCACAAGGCTCTACAACCAACCCACTGATGCCCACGGCAAGGTAAGGGAGTGCTGTGGGGAGTGCTTTCAGGCTGCCAGGGAAAGCTGGGGGTGGAAAGCAGTTCGAGTGCTGCCTGCAGAGGTGTCTGACCCTGGTAGGCTCTGACCTGCTCCTCCTCTGCTCTCCCTCCCTCTGACATGCTCCAGGGCCTCATGTACCGGGGGATCTTGGACGCTCTGCTGCAGACGGCTCGGACAGAGGGCTTTTTTGGCATGTACAAGGGTATAGGTGCCTCCTATTTTCGCCTTGGCCCCCATACTATCCTCTCCCTCTTCTTCTGGGATCAGCTGCGCTCCTTCTACAGCACATACACTAAATGAGGCACGCTCCTGCACTCCAAATCAACACTCTTTGGGCACCAGCCTCTACTACTTACTATCTCAGTGACTATTTACTGACCGATTGACTTCTCGTGAACCTAACGGGGACAGCCACACCCACTGCCTCTCAGTTCTCTTAGGTTTGAATCATTCTGAGCAGTAATTTCTGTCTTTCCCATGGATATTGCTTTAAATTGCCACACAGGTCCCCACACCCATCTCAGGGTTGAATCAGACACTCCAAAGTATATTTCTACTGCCATTTTTGGGTCCTTCCTGCTTCTGTACACAGCTTTAAAAGTCCCCCAAGACCAAAGGGAACTGGGGAGATCCAGGTGTACCCCCAGATTCAAAGCCACAGAAACTGTGTTGTTTATAAAGCAAGTTTATTTCCGCAGAGGAGGTGTCTTATGTTTATGTCCAGGGAGGAAGCAGAAAGAAACTCCCCCTCTCAGAGCTGGGTCCCGAGTCCTCAGCAGCAGTTATGTTGTGTTCCGCCATCTTTACTGGGGACCAAAGATGTTGGGGTCGTGAAGAGTCAAACTAGTCACCAGTTGTTCAAAGTTACCCAGGTTCCAAGGTGGACATGACAGATTTTCAGGGCCAAGAGACCTGCTGTTAGAGCTTAGGGAACGGGTAGAGAAAGAATCCAGCTTGAGGTTTGCAAGATTACACTCCCTAGTACCCAGAAGAATCCCTGACCCCCAAGCCCTTGGCTCATTTCTGCTTCCTTGAAGGAGTCCACCAGCCTATCTTCCCGTTTGACCCACCCAAGCCTAACTGTTGGGGGGGGGCGACACCCACTTGCGAGCTTCCCACCCTTTCCTAGTCCTTACGGGGGCTGATTGAAGGTGAGCAAGAGGTCAGTTTGGTACTGGGGCAGCCGAAGCAAGGCCTGATGTAGTGTGACATCCTTTGCTACCTAAAGGGATCAGAATCAGGATGCTTACAAGGATGGTACATGGAGCTACCCTCCCCCACTCCACATCCCCTTCGCCGTGGCCCTCACCTGCTGGTTTTCTTTAGCTACCTGCTGCTTGCCAGAAAGGAACCAGGCATCTTGACAGCTGCCCCTCAGGGATAAGTTCTCCAAACAGAGAGGCTGCACAGATAACACGTGCACGGCCCTAGCCCCCTGCACCCCGCCAACGTCCTCAAAATGGTACCTAGAGTGGGGGGGACAGGGGTAGGGAGGGGCATCATTGAATAACCCATCCCCGCCCTCGAGTCTCACTCTTCTGGCTAGTCAGCTATCGCCCTTGGAGTTTTCGTCCTGAATAACCGTCCAGCCACAGGCCCCGCCCACCTCCTTGGCTCCTGGCCTCCCATTGGCTAGCTTTCTCACCGCGCAGCCGCTTCGCCCCGCACGTGGGCCTGCAGCTCCAGAAGTTCCACGATCAGACTCTGGTCGGTCACGGGATGGCAGAAAACTTCTTGGTTGTCCGGGACCGGTCGGAGGTCGCTGGAGAGGGACAGAGACACTCTAGTTGTCTCTGGCTTCTTCCCGCAACCTACCCGACCGGCCTCCGGGGCGCGCCTGAGCTTTCTCACCTCACATCAATGGCCCCAGGCGGGAGGATGGCCGAGAAGGCGCCTCCGAACAGTGGACAGTTTCTGGTGGGCTCCATAGATCTGGGACTCGAGTCTGGACATTAGCGAGGTTTTAAAGAAACCTATATGGGCCTTTGAGGCATCTCTTCCTCTGGGGTTCTGGAGCAGCCACCGCCTCCACCCGGCCTACTAAGCTCTGGGACCTTTAAGGTCTAGCCACGCCCTGCGATTACGATGACCAATCAGCGCCCGCGCTCTGGGGGCGGAGCTATCCTCGAGGGCTGTGCTCTAAAGTTCAGCTCTTTGGAAGGAGCCAGGTCCCGCGTTGGGTCTGGTCCGCTGTCCGTTCTGTGTTTAGGATTTGTGAAGCCGGTATATGCCTGCGCCTGCTTCTTCCTTTGAAAGGAAGCACCTTCTAAGAACGTCACTTGAGACCGTCCTTAAGAACAGCTGTCCGGCCGGGCGGTGGTCGTGCACGCCTTTAATCCCAGCACTAGGGAGGCAGAGGCAGAGGGATCTCTCTGAGTTTGAGGCCAACCTGGTCTACAAGAGCTATTCCAGGACTGGCTCCAAAGCTACAGAGACACTGTATCGAAAAACAAACAAATAAATGAATGAGTGAATAAATAAATAAATGAAAATAAGAACAGCTGTTCGCCAGGCTGTGATGGTGCATGCCTTTAATCCCAGCACTAGGTGTTCGAGGCCAGCCTGGTCTATAAAGCGAGTTTCAGAGACAACCAAGGTTACACAGAGAAACCCTGCCTCGAGGGTGGCGGGGAAGCTAAGAACAGTTGTTCAATTAAAGGGCCTATGTAGGTGGGGTCTGATGAGTAAGAGGAGAACGGTTTGAGGGTGTTCTTGGGTTTCTTGACCCTGGATGGGTTGACAACCAGACTGCTCAATTCCCGGATCTATGCTGGGAATTAAGGGAAACCTCAGGTCCAGGTGTGGGGGGTCTGGGTTAGGGTTCAGACCTCAAACTTTGATACCTAACCTGAGGATTATGGTTCTAATCCCCTCAAATCTTCCTTGGGAGGCTGAGGGTAAGCTCTCCCCCAGTACACCTGGATCAAAGCACAGATTAAACTGTTGTTTTTCCTTTACAGATTTTTAGAGTGTTCTTTAAGTATTTGTTCAACTTTATCCTTCCTGTTAATTTCTCCATTCATCTCTGATCCCCAGCACCTGGCACAATGTTTAGACCGTAATAGGCCTAGGAGTATATGGTTACACTACTGAGTACATGTACTAGTGCCAGTGCCTGGGAGCCAGGAGGCCACCCGTGCCCTCAGTGGACTCTAAGAGCAGCTACTTCCCAGCTGAGAACTGAGTACTGGGTTTCTCATCCAAGCCACATGAACCCTTATAATTTACTGGAATGGAGCCGAACGTTACGTGTTTGTTGATGCCAGCCGTTACCTTTGTGGGCCTGGCGATGCAAAGGGACACCTTACCAAGGCGTAAAGGTACCAGTGGAGCTTGCTTTGAGTTTGATTTACAGAGCTCCTGAGGGCATCCTAGAGGTATTCCAGCCAGGACCTAAGTGTAAAAACTTGAAGGTGAGAAAGTGTACTCTAAAAAATAAAAATATATGGGGGGGGGGAGCACAAGTAGATGGGATCCTCTGCCATTAAGTTCTCCCTCCCTCCCTCCACCCCTCCTTCCCTCCCCTTCCTTTAACTGCAATTGTCCCACCATAGCCACCACACCCAGTTTGGACTCGGTAGGCATCTGGCTTTTCTCCCAGTTTTTCCTCATCTCTAAAGCACTGTTAGGATTGAAATGTGCCCAGGTATGGTGGCACATGTCTTTAATTCGAGCACTGGAGAGGCAAAAGCAATCAGATCTCTGTAGTTCAGGACCAGCCTCTTCTGCATAGTGAGTTCCAGCCAGCTAGGGTTATATAGTGAGACTCTTCCCCAAGAAATAAACAAACAAACAAATAAATAGAATTGAGATGTGGATATAGTTAGTCAGTCTGTTTTTGGGTGGGAACTATGACTAGGTTAACTTCCTAAGAGAAGAGGGGCTGCAGACCCCATGGGATAGAAGGAACCTGGCCATAGAGGGCTCCATGTAGACCTTTCTGCCCCTTCTCCCCACCCCTCCACCAGGAGCGACAACAGCTTTAATTGCTTTGTGCACAGCCAAGTAGATCAAAAATCCTTGGGTAGAGACCTGCAAGGACACAGATGTTATTAACAAGATCATAGCACTGCCTACCAGGAATGGAGACCTGTTCACAGGCCAGGGAAGGAGGAGAGAGCTGCTTCAGCTTTTCCCCCATGGAGTTCCTGGCAGGCCTCATGTTCAGCTGTGGGGCTACAGGTAGCTGGAGACCCTTGCCTTTCCCCAGTCTCTGAGCTGTAGGACAGGATGGTAGTGAGCAGAGTCGTACCAAGGTTCAGGGCCAGATCTCCCCTGTGGTGGAAGGCCCCTTGCCTTGGCAGTTCTCCAGATCTCTGCTGTTGGCTTGCCATCCCTCTCTTGGTATCTGCTCTCTGCTCTAGCCTTCTCAGTGCCGACACCCCAGTGCGTCCAAATTCCCTAAGAAATGAGCCAGTTTGTTTGAAAAATATCTGAGCCCAGTGGGACCCTCGGCCCACCCAGCTGCAGCGGGGGGGGGGGGGCGTGTCATAGACAAATCTCTGGCATACCGCTGCTCTCCTCATGGTGTGCCTGTCCAGCCCGCAGCATGCTGGTGGCAGCAAGCCCACAACTGGGACAGGGGATTCTGTGCTCAGGGATGGTCCCTTTCCTTTGAAGGACCCAAAAGACAGGCTGTGAGAGAGCTGGAAAGATGGACTAGCAGTTCCCAGCCCCCAAACGGTGGCTCACAACCATCTGCAACTCCAGTTCCAGGGGAACCAGTGCCCTCTTCTGACCTCCTCGGGAACCAGATACACGTGTAGTGCCCACAGGCGCAGGCTCATAAAATAAAAAATAAACCTAAAGGAAAAGAAAAGACTCCAACCCCCAGAGATACAGCATCCAGTGGCAAACATCCTTTTATGGACGAGTTAAGGCAACATATTTCTTGTGTGCAGGAATTTTAAGCCTTCCATCCTACCAAGGGTCCCTTTGATATTTTGGTGAAATTCATGAATACTTAACTAGAAAAATGTTTGTAAATTATAAAATAAAATGTTTAAGAACACAAGAGAAACTCATTTGCTTTGTTTTTCATTATGTAGTCTTGGCTGAACTGGAACTCGATATGTAGACCAGGCTAGCTCCAAACACAGAGAAGGGTCTACCCTTGAATGTACGTGCATTGCATGTGTGTGTGTGTGTGTGTGTGTTACTTGTGGAGTTCAGAAGAGGGTACTGGATCCCCTGGAACTGGAGTTAAGGATGGTTGTGAGCCACCATGTGGGTTCTGGATACCAAACCTGGGTCCTTCGTAAACACAACAAGTGCTGAGCCATCTTTCCAGTCCTGCAGCTATTTTCTTTTAAAGACTTATTTTTATTTGTATGTGGTGTGTGAGTGTATGTGTGTGTGTGTGTGTGTGCCAGGCTGGAAGAAGGTGTCAGATCCCCCCCCCGGGAGCTGGAGCTTTGTGAGCTACCAGAGATGGGTGGTAGGATACACACTCGGTGAGTCAGCTCTCCAGCGTCGTGGTGGTGGAGTTTTGCTTTTCACAGTTTTCTAAAGGTTACTTAATATGGATGAGTCTTGTATCTGCATGTATGTGTGTGCACCACCTGCATGCCGGCTACCCACGAAGGGTGTTAGAGCCCCTGAAACTGGAGTTACAGGCCACCATGTGGATGCTGCTGAACTGGGTCTTCTGCGAGACCAGCCAGTGCCATCGCTAAGCCATCCTGGCAGTCCCGAGTTTCCTTTGAGACGGGGGTGTCTTTGTCACTACAGTGTATGCCAATCTGGCCTTGAATTTGAGGTAGTCCTTCTGCCTCAGCCTCCCAAGGGCCAGAATTTCAGGTGTGCCACCATGCCTCACTAAAAACAAAAGCATATTACTATCATTTTAAAAGATTTAGCCGGGCACTGGTGGCGCACGCCTTTAATCCCAGCACTCGGGAGGCAGAGGCAGGCGGATCTCTGTGAGTTCGAGGCCAGCCTGGTCTA